TTATGTTGCCATTGATGCATTGAAGAAGCTTTAATATTTTGGTATTTGAGAGGAATATCAGATTGATTTTGATTTATATCTATACGACAAGTTTTCAATTTTCGAAAATGTTATTTTTAGCTGAAAGTATTATTGTACATCCAATGTGTCTCCAATCTGTTAATGTTATTTTTATGTACATTTTTTCTGTGTCATTGAGTTGAAACCCTGATATGAAGTCCATTAGGTGCTTCGACCCTAGGAAATTTCATCAACTTGTTTCCTCCTACTTCTTCCCACTTGTATCGCGTCACAAAGTAATGAAGAAACGTAGATATTTCCGCTAGTCCAAATTCTTTTCCGGGACACTGCCTCGTTCCTCCTCCAAAGATGAACGAGTAATTTTGGTTTTCAAGGCCTTTTTCCTGCATTTTTCACCATTTTATATTAATACCTGAAGTTTTAATATCTTGTACATTATACCGTCGAGCATTTATTTAGGATTTAGGATTCCGAACCAGCCATCTCCATGGATTGAAGGCATGTGGATCAGCATAAAGGCATGGATCATAATTATTTTCTCTTGTATACACGTATATCCTCCATCCTTTGGGAATAACATATCCTGAAAAGGGATAGACAAATCGATAAGCAATTCTAAGATAAAATAAGCGAAAAATAGAATTAAGGGTCTCTGATTCTTGATTGCCTTGTGATTTAACTTTATATACCATTTATTTCCATGTCTTTTGTTGTCTTCCTCAAAATTCCATTAACTATTGCAGCTAATCTTGAGGTCTCATAAATAACCTGCATCATAGAGGTATGACAAGTCAATTAAATGAAAAAAATTCCCTACTAATTATCTATTTCAGATGAGAATTCGAACACTTACAGCACGCGTAAAGCACATTGATTTGTAGTCATCATAGTCAATAGGATCCTCTGGCCTTTTCTTTTTTCTGATTTCCGCATGTTCTTTCTACAGAATTCGTGATATCAGGTTGGAATATGCGAAACATATAAGCTAGATGAAACCGAATCTTTTCTTGACTTACTCTCAATTTTTCTAGTGCTTTTGGATGATCATGAAGATATTTGATGGCCATCATTGAAGTAGTCGAAACAGTCTCATATCCCGAATACAAAATTGTGATGATCAGATCAATCATCTCCTCATCATTCAGCTTATACTTGTTCTTTTCGCTGTAGATTAGGTAATCAAGCATGTCGTGATGAGTTTCTCCAGAAGCTATTCTCTCTTCTACAAGTTTTCTCAACAAAATCGTAATGTTTTTCCTTGCCTGTGATATGCCTCAATATTAAGTTTTCTAAGCATTTCATTCAGAAAGGTACGTGTATGTTTGGTAGACAGTAGCACGATTTAATTACCTGGATGCTGAGATAATAGTTTGTATTAGGAAGATTGATAGGCAGAGACAGAGTTCCCAGCACTAGCTTAAAGAAATCAGGCATGAATTCTTGAGATATTGAGACAGATTCAACACTTGCGATTTGCCTCAGTGACGAGAGAAAAGCCATCTGATCAACAAAATCATAAGAGAGATGCATATCATTAACGAGGCAAAATTAAGAAAACCAATGCATGATCACCATTACCCACCTCTTTTGTTTTCTGTTGAATATCAATGATTTTGTTATCCCATTTGCTGATATGGGATCTCATAAAATCATCGATTTTCGGCAAAAGTTGGTCTTTAATCATGGTGGGGCTAATGAGAGCAAGCAATGCACCTCTCATGTACTTATGAGTACCACCATGGACAGCTGCTATGTTGCATTTGCCTAAGATGTCTAGCATGGACTGAGGATAGCCAGGGACAAGGCCTTTCGATTCGTTAACTAGGATATATCTATTTAGCTCTGGATCCATAGAAATAATTGTAGGGCACCCAAAAATGTGGGACTTGAAAAAACTTCCATGCCTGTTTTAGTAACATAAGAGGTCAAAAAATTAGTTGCAAGTGTTCGCAAGATTTTGAACCACCTTAGAATGATAAAAGAGACCTTGTTCTTTTGTTTCTCATGAAGGCTGGACCTTGTTTTAGAAACTCGTTAGTTTCACCAAGAACTGGCCATCCCATGGTACCGGGGGGTAATCTTTTCTTCCTGTGCCTTACTTGGTTCCATCTTAGTAAAGCAGTGCTCAAGATGCAGAGCCCCGAAAATATTCCAACAGTTAGACTGAATACAGCCATGGTTTCTCCCTAGAAGCTCCAATCACTTCAGAGTTCAGGGAGAAAGCTGTAGATGGTACTGTATTCAAGTGATAAGTTATTCATTGTGTTAATAATTATATAGACCTTACTAAAGGTTTACATAGGACCATGCCAAGCAGACATGGCTCAATTTTGAGATGGCCCGGCTTGGCAGCACGACCTCAATTTAGGCATAGAATGTCTAAAATTATCTAGGTCCGACCGGCCAGTCAGCACCAACTATGCTGGGCCATGTTGGCCTACACGCACACAACATGGGCTGTGAGACGTGCATTTCAAGTGTCCAGCCCAACGTGCCGACGAACAAACCTATCTAACAAGTTGCAAAACTAGATACAAATTCTTGATAACTAATAGTTATACATGCAAACATTTTCATCACAACACTGATGAATTCCCTTTAGATTATACCTTCTAATACGGAATTTGATTGGTTAGCAATCCATCAAAGTATCTCATGAGTAATTGTGATGCTTTAATCGTTTGCTTATTGATAAATATTTTGATAAAAGTGAAGAGGAGAAAAAGACCTATGTAAAGAAGCACATGCTGACCACCCTATTGGAAGTAGAAGCAAACCAGTGGAAACTAAATGGTCCATGAAATTATAACTTTAACATATGTTCTTGGTAAGCGAACAAGAGATGTGAGTCGGAAATTTTTAAGATTTGAGGTTCCGTCTTAAGAGGTCAATTTAGGCATAGAATGTCTAAAATTATCTAGGTTCGGCCAGTCAGTCAACACCAGCTGTGCTGGGCCGTGTTGGCCTACACACACACAACGTGGGCTGTGAGACGTGCAGTTCAAGTGTCTAGCCCAACGTACTGACAAACAAAACTATCTAACAAGTTGCAAAACTAGATACAAATTCTTGATAACTAATAGTTGTACATGCAAACATTTTCATCACATCACTATGATGAATACCTTTTAGATTATACCTTCTTATAGGGAATTTGATTGGTTAGCAATCCATCAAAGTATCTCACGAGTAATTGTGATGCTTTAATCATTTGCTTATTGATAAATATTTTGATAAAAGTGAAGAGAAGAAAAAGACCTATATAAAGAAGCACATGCGTACCACCCTATTGGAAGTAGAAGCAAACCACTAGAAACTAAGTGATCCATGAAATTATAACTTTAACATATGTTCTTTTTTTTTTTATAACCATGGATGTCCGGGTCAGCTTGTGCGCACCTCGACTAATCCCACGGGGCCCTGAAGTTTACGGCATGGTACTCACCTAAGTGACTCTGAGGGGACTCGAACTGGTGACCATTGGGGAGCAAACTCAATGTCTGATCAATTGAGCAACCCCTCAATGTTAACTTTAACATATGTTCTTGGTAAGCAGACATGAGATGTATGTTGGATATTTTTAGATTTGAGGTTTTGTCTTAAAATGTCAATTATGTTAAAAGGACTAATTTAAACTCTTATAATAGCCAGGTGATTGATCAAAAGCAGAGGCAAAATCATATGCCTGGGCGACCGCCCGGCTTTTGCCTGGGCGCCAATATGCTACCCGAATTCTTTTTTTGTTTTTATTTTGAATTTTATTCCAATTGAGATTCTTCCTTTTGGCCATTATTTGCATTGAGAGGCATATAATTACAAATTAGGGCATGGAGAATTGATTGTAAAAAGAGAGAACACATCAAGATCTAATTTCAAGAACTTCAAGATTGAATTCAAAAAATTTCGGGTGATGAACATCTTTTATATTTGCTTTCTTCTTCGCAACATGTTAGGCTAAACAAATTTAGTACTAGGTTTACGATGAATCTTGTATCATGAACCTTTAATTTTTTTTTTCTTTTTGATATTCAAACATGTTTTTTAATTATTAAACGATTTTCATGGTATTATCTTATTTACAATTACGTGTACAATGATTGTATGAATATTCTGACTTCTTTTTACCCTTGAAAGATGAAAAATAAGGTAGACATAGTGTTAATCACCGTAGAATATGATAGGGGATAGAAATATACTGCTATATTTTACATGATCTTCAAGTATTCATAGATTTTTAATGTATTTTTGTATGTATGCATCCGTTATAAAAATATAGTCGGGTCACATGTGAGAATATATTTAATTCTACTCAGGAGAGATTATTAAACAACTGAATCATGTTGCCAAACTGTAATGTTGGAGTTAAAGGAGATTCGGGATCGTAGTGCGCTTTCATCATTATATATTAATCAATTTTGCAGTAATCACGATCTTTGCATTAATTTTTTAGTTAACTGGGTTTTGCAATCATAAGTATATTAATTAGTGACAATTTAGTCGTTGAAAAATCTAAAGTTTTCATTGTTTCAGTTAAGGCTTAGTTTATTTGAATTTAAACCAATACAATCTCCGTGGATACGATACTTGGACTAGAAAATTCATTCTACTACTTGTTAACAAATCCTGCACTTGCGGTATTTAAAACGATCAAATATTTTTGTCACAGAACTTCCACAATTATATCGTTTGTACATTTTCTTCCCCTTTACTTATTGCTTTCGTATATGTACACTTTATTTGTTTGATTTATTTATTCCAAACTTGCTTGAATTTGAATTTATTTTTCGAAAAAAAAAATAATTAAAAGCAAATTCACCTCCTCTTGGTTAGTTATTCTTGGACTATCACAACCTCTGTTCTAAAAAGCGCGCCTAGGCGGGAAGCGTGATGAAAACGCTTCGCCTTGAGTTTAATCGGGAATTAAGCGGTCAACGACAATGTTGATGGGAAGCGT